AAATATGGAAAGAATTATAAAAGGTCACAATAAAGCTTTGCTAAACAAAAAAGAAATTCTAAATGAAAAAACTACAGAAAATTGTACTTATAAACATAAAAACAATTGTCCAATGAGTGGAAGTTGTTTATCAAAAAATGTGGTGTATAAATGTGTTGTCTCCTCTAAGATTGTACCTGATAAACAATACATTGGCATAACAGAGAGTAAATGGAAAAAACATTTTTTCCAAACATAAGCAATTTTTTTTAAAATAATTAAAAAATAAAAGCATTCAAAAGACACCATGTTGTCAAAATATATATGGGAATTTAAAAATAAAAATATTGATGATTATATACTAAATTTTTTTTTTTTTTTTTTTTCGTAAACAACTTTGCTTCCAACAAGGCTGCAAGCAACGCCTAATTAGTGTTGGAAGTTACTGGAAGAGAAAAGATGAAGATTGTTGAGCAAGGTAATAAATGAAAGACGACTTAAAAAAATGCAAATTATATGAATCAGGAAAGCAAGATGAAGGAATCAAATTCCAAAAAACTGATGTTCGAGGAAAAACAAGAGGAATTTTAAAGAAGAATTTTAAAGGATTTTAAAGCACTTTTTGAAGTCACAGAAAAAAACGCTGACTCTTTAGAGCAGTGCCCATTATAGTAGAAAAGAGAAAGAGAAAGAGAAGCAACATTACAACGATGTTATGTCAGCATAATCCACAAATTTATGAAAATTTACAGTAGTTAAGACATTTGCGACTTCCTGTAATTTAATTTTGTTGGGTAATAATTGAAGTTTAATTAATTTGATCATTTATTTCTGATGAGTCTTTATTGATGAAACACAGTGTAAAATGGAAAAAAATTTTGTTAAGAGATTTTCTACTAATTTAATTTATATATATATATATATATATATATATATATATATATATATATATATATATATATATATATATATATATATATATATATATATATATATATATATATAAATGATCTTAAAAAGTCTTGCAATTGAAAGCCTATAATTTTTGCAAACTTAAATTTGTTTCAGTCACATAAAAATATAAAAATACCTTTTAATACTAAGAACTTGAAAAAACTGAGAACTTGAAAAAATTTTATTTTTGTATAAAAAAATTTTCAATACTAATATCCTCAGGATATCTTACCTCTGCTTTTCCTAATCTATATAAATGACATATTTTTATCTTCCAGTATATTGAACTACATTTTTTTTGCAGATGACACTCAAGCTTTCTATACCCACTCTAAGATTACTACACTTTCAAAAACAGTAAATCAGGAACTTAAAGAGTTGAGCGATTGGTTTGAAGCAAACAAACTTTCTGTCAACATTGAGAGAAGTAGTTATATCTTTTTTAACAAATCCATACAATTCTGACTAACTACCATTAAAACTTCCAGATATTCTATTAGACAAAATTAGACTAAATTGAGCATTCTTAGTTAAATTTCTCGAGGTGTTATTAGATGAACATATTAGCTGGTAAGTCCACATAAATATAATAAAAAACAAAATATCTAAAAACATTCGAATTATGTATAAAACCTGATATATTTCAAATAATGCATGCTTTAAAAGTTTTTATTTTGCAAATATACATAGCTATATTAACTTTTGCTATATTGCCTGGGCTAATACCTACCAATCAAAACTAGATTTAATATACAAAAAAACAAAAAGTAGCGTGCCGTTTATTAACAAATGTAAATAGAAATGCCGATTCTAAACATTTAATGAGGGAACTGAGAGTTCTTAATATCTACAAACAAAATATATATTGCATTCTTCAGCTCATGTTTAAATTCAAAAATGATCTGGTCCCTGAAGTCTTCCATAACTATTTTCACCTTATTAATCACAAATATCAAAAAAAAATACTCTATCAAGAACTACTATATTCCGAAAACCTCTTTAAGACAATCTAAATTCTTAATATCCAGCAGAGGACCTCAATTGTGGAACTCATTTCTAACAAACAAAATAAAAACGATAAACTCATTCCAACATTTTAAATGCGTTGTAAAGCAACAGCTAGACCTCAACATTAATAAAAGAATCTCTTATTTTTAAAATTTTTTCTAAATTTTAAAATTTTTCCTTTTTCAATTTAAATTTTTTATGAAATTCTTGAAATTCTATTATATTCCTTGCTTGGTTATTTAATGATCTTCATTGTAGAAAATTAAAAAAAAAATCATATGTATTATAAAATATTTTATTATATTTGTGTTTGGTTTATATTTTTTTATACTTTGTCAACGACGAAAATGGGGCAAGATGATAAGACTATTGTCTTCTACTTGCTCCAGTCATATATTTCACTGTAAAATGTTGTATATAATTATATTAATAATGACAAATAAAAAAATATATATTAAAAAAAAAAATCATTAAATACTGACAAAACAAAATGGATACTTTACTATCCAAACTATAAAAAATTGATAGCATGGTTTTTTTATAGACTTGTCATAATTTTTTGCTTAAAAAACTTGAATGCAGGAAAAACTCTAAGTTAGTTGAAAAAGCTTTTAGTTGATAAATTTCAGCTAGCGATTAGTATGCTGAAAAAAAATAAGAGTGCAGGACTGGATGAACTTAACCGTGCTGTTGTAAAAGCAGCCTCAGATATTATAGAAAAACCTCTTTTTTATAATTTTTAATCTTTCTTGAAAAGCAGCATTTTTCCTGACCAAATAAAAATAGCAAAAATAGTTCCAATATACAAAGGCAGCGGTGACTCGATAAAATCTAACTACAGACCAATTTACGTACTTTCTTGTTTTTCTAAAAACAAGAGCGTATTATGCACAACAGACTGTACAATTATCATACTTTATCATAAGCAGTTTGGTTTTCGAAAAAACCATTCCACGAAACATGCAATAATTGATTTTGCAAATCAAATTTAGAGTGGTTTTAAAGATAATAGTTACTCACTAGGAATTATTTTAGATCTAAAACATTTGATACTGTCAACCACAATATTCTTATTTATAAACTACGTAATTATGGAGTAGTTTATAAATAAGAACTTAAAGTGGCTGCAATGTTATTTAGAAAATTGTAAACAAGGACTACCATATGATTTAACATGAACAAGGTTTGAATCAATAAGATGCGGTGTTTTACATGGATAAATACTTGCATCTTTATTGTTTTTTAATGATATTTGTTTTATGTAAATGATATTTATTTGTCTTCAAAAGTACTTAATTATATTAATTTTTTTTTATTACGCTAATTTTTTTTTTTTTGATTACAATTTAAAAAATATTTTACATTATGAAAATACAAAACTAATATAACGTAATGAGTGGTTTATAGCAAATAAACTTTCATTGAATACTGATAAAACAAAATATATTTTGTTTGCTAAACTATCTAAATCTGAAAACCTTCCACTTAAACTACCAGAACTAACAACTAATAATATTAAATTAAAAGAGTTTTTTCAATGAAAATACTTTTGGATAAAATTTTTTTTTTTTTAAACATCTTCGCTTCCAACAAGGCTGCAAGCAACCACTAATTAGTGTTGGAGGTTACTGGAAGAGAAAATATGAAGATTGTAGAGCAAGATAACGATTGACAGACGACTTAAAAAATTGCAAATTATATGAATCAGGAAAGCAAGATGAAGGAAACGAATTCCAAAGAACTGATGTTCAAGGAAAAAAGCTAGACGAATAAGAGTTTTTAAAGCACTTAGGAACAGTCACAGAAAAAGGATGAGAATTAATTGAATGATGAGTAACACGAGAATGAATTTTAGTAGATGGCACAAGAGACGCTAGCTCTTTAGAGCAGTGCCCATTATAGTATTTGTAAAAAAGAGAAAGAGAAGCAACATTACGACAATGGGACAATGGGACAATGGTTGGCTGCAATTAAATTAAATTTGAAAAGCCAAATAAAGTCCAGAATAAAATTTCAAAGGCTCTGGGGATTATGTACAAGACAAAACATCGTTTAAATAAATAATATTAAAAAAATTTATACTATTCATTTATACATAGTCAAATTAACTATTGTAATATTGCCTTGGCAAACAATTGTAACAAAAGGTAACAAAAAAAAAGTTTCACCCTCAACCCTTTATTGTGTTTCTTTTAACTAAAAAATAAACTGTGCAAAAATTTATTATGATGTTTTGATATCGTTGCTCAATGAACTTGATATTATTTTAGGGTCAACGGAAAATAAAAAAAATGCATTTAATTTTTTTTTTGGATGCAAAGTTTTAATTTTAATTTAATGTTTATTTTAATCAGATTTTGATACAAATTGTTCACTTGTTGGTTGTTCACTTGTTTTCATTAATGCCTTCACAACTGTTGACTTTCACATATCTGGAATTCAATGTCGATGTATAACACAGTTTGTAAAACATATAGCAAATGAGTTTCATCTTTTGTCAATATTTTTATGTAAACTGAAATAAGTTTTACCCCTCTTTTGGCTGTGTCATTCACAACTTTTATAGAATTAACATTTTTGTATGCTCCCTGGTATTTGGTTACTCCTAACCCTAACCCTAACCCTGGTATTTGGTTACTTCATGTGTCCAAGCAATGATCCTTCATAAATATTCAATTTATTCCATGCACTTCATATAATATTTGTTACAAAGTCATCTAAGTTTATTTTATTTTTATTATATTACTATTATTTATTATTATTATATTACTAGCCTAGTACTACCAAAGTTGTAGTTAAGAGTTTTATATTATATGTATGTATGTAGAATATGTATAAGGATATAAATTTGATAACAAAACATCATGTTATATATTACTTTTATAAAATTTAGAATTTTATTAATTGTAAAATAATTTAAAGCTTTAAAAATATTATAAAGTATTTGTTACATAAAAAAGAAAAAAAAAAAGTTTACATAAATTAAAGAATTATTTTTCCACATCCAAATTTAATTTTAAAGTTTTTGTTTGTAAGGAAAACTTCATTATATCATTTAGAGACAAGTTTACCAGAAATATCTTTCAGATTTTCTGCCAATAAAGGTAATTTTAATATTTGGTTTAAACTTACTGAGTTTTTACTATATTCTTAAAAAAATTGCAACAATTAGGTTTCAATGTGCTTTGTTTGTATCAAAAGCTTATTAGAAAAGTCTGTTGAATATTTATTGAGAGGATGACCTTCATTAAGCTTCAAAAAAAAAAATTTATTTCTTCAATTAAAATAAATTAACTTTAAAAACAAAACAAAAACTTCCATCAAAATCATTACATTATCATTAACACTTGAGTAAATCAATTTATTTAAATAAAAGAATAAGTTTATAAATTTAATAAAATTTTTTGTCTCAATTATTTTTAAATATTCCTCTACTAATCTTTATTTTTGTCTTAACAACTGTCAAAATATGCTTTGTTCAAAAAATAATTCTCCTTTATTCTAATGTACTTCAATTCTTCTTTCAGACGCTCATTGCTTGCGTGTGACCATTCTGCAACTTTATATGCCAAAGTTTTTAAATAACTTTTTATTTCAATACCCAACCTTAAAGAAACATAATCTTAACAATTGTGAATGTTTCTTATTGTTCAACGTTCATAATAAGATATTGAGTATTTTATATTTGCAATAGTTAATGAAACCAGATAATCAATCAATAAAATAACATTTCCTTACTTTGGGTTGTGACCTGAAATAATTTTATAAATAATTGTATAGCAATTGATATACTATTATTTATAAAATTAAATTTATAGTTTATATTAAAAGAAATATTTTTTATTACAGTGTTGCTAGAATAATATACATGAAACTTTTTTTTTGTAATATTTAAAAGCAAGAATAAATTTTTCTTTTTTGTAATTTCTATAAAACAAAAATTTAATAATTTTTGAATAAGTATCTATTTTTATGTTATCTAATTACTATTAAATAATTGTTTAACTTCATTAAGTTGCATTTTTATATGTTAGCTTGTTTATCATTATTATATTTATCTAAGTTAAGAGAATTTACCATGTCAGTTATAATTTTTAGAAGAAGCAACATCACAACTTTGCGCAAGTTACTAAACACAAATAACTTTTTTTTTTAATAAATTATAAATACTTTTATAGCAATTTATAAATTAATAAAATAATAAATAGTCCATAGCTTGTAATTTTTGATTGTTCATCCTATATGTCTACCATTTATTTCTATCATCTATTTACTATTTACAATTGTAGAAAAGTTTTGTCTAATGCAAAAGCCACTATTCTTAAGTCACTAAATCTTACATTTCATCTCAAAAAACTTCTGGAGAATCTTTAACATTGTCTTTAATGAGTGCTAATTTTTTATTCCATTTCTCTTGCATGGTTTAGATTTTGTTTTGTTTTTTTATTTTTTATTTTTTATTTTTTTGAATACGATCATGAATTATAATTGTTTTTAAGTTTGATTAAAATATTTTAGCACTTAAAAGATACTGCTAAATGAAACTCATTTTTTGGATTTTTAATTTTTTAGAAAAAAGGGTGGAAAAAAAAACCCTGTGAACCTGTTACAAAATATTGGTTAATAAAACTTAAAGTGTTAATAAGTCTGAGGTTTAATTAACTGACTAAAAACATCAAAGTAAGAGCAGTGCAAGGTGGTTCAGAAAACAACACTTTAAAAAGCATATGAATTTGTACCCTTAATTTATTCAATTTAATAAAATAATTTATTAAAAAATATTTTTAGAGGTAGTACCAGACCTTAAACATCAGTCATTTGTTAATTAAATAAATTTCAGTAATTTATATGGAATGTGGCGTAATTCTTTAAGTAAATACATTCATGGTGTAGGCAAATTGTTGTATTATTATTCATTTCAATCCCAACATTTTATAAAGGATTTAATCGAGGAGAGTTTTCTAGCCAATCAAGTTATGAAAAATTCTATTCTGATAGGTATTTTTGATTAAACTGTATGATATGGTGCCCCGTTCTACATAAAAGTTTTTTTTTCACCTGGACCAAACCATTCTGCCAATTATGGCAACAATCTTTGTTCCAGGACTTTTTTATATTGCAACTGATTAATTATTCTCTAAATATTATATTGCATCCCCATTCCCCTTTTACATATCATAGACCAGATCATTACAGAAGTGGGGTGTTTAACAATTTGAATGATAAAGTTCAATAAGTTTTTTTCCCTTTTTTTTCTCCTTTACATATTGAGCCTTCTTTGTTAACACTTGAAAAGTACTTTTGTTGCTAAAGTATACTTTAAAATATTATATAAGGATTGTTAAGTAAATCTTTTTTGATGTAAAGTTTGAAGTAAAAAAATGAATATTTTAAAATCATTTGAATTAATATTATTGATTTTATTGATCCAACCATCTTCCATTAAATTTCTGTATTTTTTGCCCACTCCAGCTTTTTTTGCATTATTTTTGGTTTCTTAGTCGGAAGTCATGAAATGTAATAAAGATTAGGATTACAGTAATTGACTTTAATTAGAGTTAGGGTAAAACATCTAGTACTCCCCATGCACTCTTATGCTTCTTGGTATTTAAAATTCACCTCTCTGTGCTATTTGGTCTTTAAAAAGATTATGTGTCTTAATTTATAAAATTGTCAAAGTTTTAGTCAGTTATGATGCAAACATCAGAGTTTTTTTTAGACATGATTTCAGAAGTTTCTAGCTATTACTTTTTGAACTGCATGTTTTAGTGACCAAGTGGCAATAGCTAATTGCATGGCAAGTACTGAATATTTTACTCTAGTGGTTTATTGTAGAACTTTAGAAAATGTCAATGAAAAATCATGTCAATCAAAAAGTAATAACATTTCATTTTCAAATTTGAGTGGCCACCCTGTAACAGCACCACAAAAGAAAAAAAATACATAACAATATAAACAATAGACAGAAATATATGCCAGTATAAACAATGTACAGATATACATGACAATATAAACAGTAGACAGAAATATATGTTAGTAAAAGCAATCTACAGATATACATGACAATATAAACAATAGACAGAAATATATGCCATTATAAATAATGTACAGATATATATGACAATATAAACAATAAACAGAAATATATGCAATATCTATTAAATATTTACAAACAACAATAAATTTTTTTATGCATGTCTAATTTTAAGATATAGATAAAAATGATTCAACTTTTGCCTGATAGAAGACATTTTCCTTAATTTCTGACCATCTTTCATAATTAATTAACATAAAATTAACAAAATAGATCTCATTCAGCTAAAGTAGTAGAAAAGAGAGTGATAGTAGAGTGAATAGATCATAAATGAAGTATTTCATGGACTGTACCACCTAAAGAAAAATAAAAAAACCCGAGTGATATCCAGGGTCAGAAATAAGACACAAATAGATAATTTAAAATAGTTGATAGTTCAAAATTCCTACAACAAAAGACATACCATAAAGACAAACCATAACCCTAACAATGATTTTTATTGTTAACTTGATAAAAACAATATAGTAGTACAAAATGACAATAACATGAAGACCGTAAAAACTGGTTTTATAATGTGTTACTAGTAAACATTATTTTTATCTTCTTGTTGTGTTAGTTGTGTAGGATAAACATTGTAAAAAGTAAAGTTTTTGCATAACTATCATTTAGATTCTTCAAATCCACTAGATGTTGCTAGCAGAGTTCATGTCAATAAAGGTAATAAGAGTAGTTATAACTTTAATTAATCTTAAATAAAAAGTTTTTTAGAAATTTAACTTTACACTACTTTTTAATTATTACAGATTTAATTA